TTCTTAACATGTGAGGTAGGAACACAAGTTTTCATTATAGAGTTGATGCTTGAACAACAGGGGTTTGAACCTTGAAGGTCCACTTATATACGGATTTTATTCAATAGTAAATACTACAGTGCTACATATTCCAAGGTTGGTTGAATCCACAGATGCAAGGGAACTGGGGATAGGGAGGGCCACTGTAAGTTTTACTTAGATTTTCAACTGTGCAGAGGATCAGTGCCCTTAATCCCCATGTTGTTCCTAGGTCAACAGCATTGTTCTTTAAAACTTACAAATAACCTTTTATTCATTCTTTTAGAAGTATGATATATTTCATAGCAACCAAAAAATCCTCAAAATAAAAGAGAATACATAATTTGTTCTTTTAGCTATTTTATTACCTTGATTTAACATATACAGAAATCTTAATAATAAAAGAAATAACCCATTTTTAAATGGGCAAAAGATCTGTAGAGACACTTCAAAGAGATACAGATGCATAAGCACATTAAAAAATATTGAATATCATTATTCATTAGGGAGATACAAATTAAAATCACAATAACCACTACACATCCACTAGAATGGCTAAAATCAAAAAGACTGACAATACCAAGTGATGACAAGGGTGTGGAAAAACTGAATCCTTCATACACTGCTCATGGGAATGTAAAACGGTAGAGTATAGCCACTTTAGAAAACAGTTTAGCAGGTTTTTTTTAAAAACATAAATTTACCATACAACCCAGCAATTACTCTCCTAGAGAAATGAAAACATATGCATGCAAAGATTTGCATGCCAGTAACAATAGTGACATTATTCAAATAACCAAAAACAGGAAACAATTCAAATGTCCATCAATTTGTGGATAAACAAAATGTGTATGTTCATATAGTGGAATTCCATATAGTGGAATTCTGCTTAGAAATAAAAAGTTACAAACTACTGCTAAATACCACAATATGAATGAACCTTAAAACACATACTAAGTGATTCCATTACATGAAACTGTAGAAAAGGCAAAACTACGCAGACAGAAAGCAGATCAGCCATGGGCTGGGGTTAGGATTAGAGATTGGCTGCAAGTGGTTACAAGGGAACTTTCTGGACTGACAGACAGATGTAACTGGATCATGGTGACAATTGTTCAACTATAAAAATTTACTAAAGCTGACCAAACTGCATACTTAAAATAGGTAAATTTTATGGTATGTGTATTATACCTCAACAAAGCTGTTTTTTCTAATATTTATTTATTTATTTGGCTGCACCAGGTCTTAGTTGTGGCATGTGGGATTTTCGTTGCTGCATGCGGGATCTTCAGTTGCAGCAAGTAGAATCTTTTAGCTACGGCATGCGGGATCTAGTTCCCTTATCAGGGATCCAACCTGGGCCCCCTGCATTGCAAGCGCAGAGTCTTAGCCACTGGACCACCAAGGAAGTCCCTCAGCTATTTTTATAATGCAAAAGAACCCTTTTTTTTTTTTAATCTAACTGGGGTTTTTTTTTTTTTACTTTGGGGAAAAGTAAGAATCTTAAAGGGTCAAAAAGCATTTTCATGAGTCATCAATGCTTTCTTCTGCACAAAGCAGAATTAAAATAAATTATAATTTTTTGATGAGTCTCTTTCTCAAAAGATCTTCCAGGACATTCTGAGATACAAAGGATTCTATTAGCCCACTCAATCTCATTCATAACTGGGATATATATAGAATAAGTTCTTTACTTTTTTTGGTTCTTTCATTTTTAAGTATTCTGTGATGATTTATTCATCTAACAAATATCCATGTAGCACTTGATATGTGCTAGGCACTATATCCGAGCCAAATCAACTAGTGCAGTAGTAATTTTTGCTTTCTGTTCTGAAAGGTTTAATCTTTTAATTTACAGGAAGATTGATGGGTATTTATACAAATACACCAAAAAATAGTAATTAGGGAGTTATAAAAATGTTTATAAGTATAAAGCATAGAAACCAGAATTATTTGCTTGTTTTTTTAAGATCTCTAAACTATTTATTACATATTCTTAAATAAAACATAAATATCAGTCCCTAGTTTTCCTAAGGAATAGGTAATAATCCTCAGTAGTTTGGTAGCATTATTAGAATTTCTGTGTGTCCCACCTTGAACTAGTTTTACTCCATTTTGTTGGGATGTCTCCTAGTCTCAAGGCCTTTGCTGCAGAATTCTTAGATTTTTACTTATGAATTTGTTCAAAATTCTCTGAGTTTTAAGTCTTTTAGTCTTCTCTCATCCACATCTATGTATATCCATATATATAGATTTACATGTTTTTCCTTTGTGTCACAAACAGATAACAAAATATACCCTTGTTAAAAACAAGACAACAGGCCCAACATGGAATCATATTTGCTAAGCCTCATGTCACCAAACGGAGACTTAATTACAGTTTCAGCTCTCCCAGAAATGGAATTTTAAACCAGTCAATCAGGAGTCATCTGATCAGCCCTAGTTATATAAAATGACTGATAAACCTCTGCTAACCCCTAAAGGAAAGTGACCTTGCAATAACCAAGGCACTTTTTGTCTGTAACTTCCTTGTTCCTGCTCCTTGTTGCCTATAAAAGTATTCTATTTTGTACAGCTCCTCAGAGCTCCTTTCTATCTGCTAGACTGGATGCTGACTGATTTGTGAATCACTGAATAAAGCCAAGTTGAACTTTCTTTTTTTAACACCCCACTCCACAACTAGCTTTTATTTAAATGTAAACCATGGAAATCTCTCCACATCGACGTATATAGTTCTAACATTCTTTTTAATGGCTGCATACTATTCCTCATTGTGGGCATATCAGAAGTCATCCATTACCCTACTAATGGGCATTCACTTTGTTTCCAGCTTTTTGCCATTATAAACAGTACTGCAATGAGTACCTTGGACTGGGTGCTTATGTTTTGCTTTTATTTCAATGGGATACAGGTCTAGGAGTGGCACTGCGAAGTCCTTTTAATTCTATTACAAGATGCCATATCACTTCCAAAAAGAATAAATTTCAAATTTCCATGCAGTGGTAACCTGAAAGATGAGTTACTATAAATATAACACTGCTAGCATTAAACTTGATAATAATAGAAATGATTTGTTAACTTGCAGCTGAAGTGCTAAAGTCATATCAAAAAAAAAAGCTGGACTTCGCTGGTGGCACGGTTATTAAGAACCCGCCTGTTAGGCTTCCCTGGTGGCACAGTGGTTAAGAATCCGCCTGCCAATGCAGGGTATACGGGTTCGAGCCCTGGTCCGGGAAGATCCAACATGCCGCGGAGCAACTAAGCCCTTGCGCCACAACTACTGAGCCTGCGCTCTAGAGCTCACGAGCCACAACTATTGAGCCTGCGTGCCACAACTACTGAAGCCCGCACGCCTAGAACCCATGTTCCGCAACGAGAAGCCACTGCAATGACAAGCCCGTGCAACAAAACGAAGAGTAGCCCCGGCTCACCGCAACTAGAGAAAGCCTGCGTGCAGCAACAAAGACCCAACACAGCCAAAAATAAAAAATAAAAAAAAAAAAGAATCCACCTGCCAATGCAGGGGACACGGGTTCGATCCCTGGTCCAGGAAGATCCCACATGCCGCGGAGCAACTAAGACCGTGCGCCACAACTACTGAGCCTGTGCCCTAGAGCCCATGAGCCACAACTCCTGAAACCCACGGGCTCAGAGCACGAGCTCCGCAACAAGAGAAGCCACCACAATGAGAAGCCCGCACACCGCAAGGATGTGTAGACCCTGCTCACCGCAACTAGAGAAAGCCTGCATGCAGCAATGAAGACCCAACGCAGCCAAAAATAAATTTAAAAAAAGAACAAAAACGTCATCCTCTTTAATACACTACCAGGAATTCAAAAGTATAGAACAATTCTGCCATCACGTTCCTATTCCGTTCATGAACACCTACCTATACCTGCAGTGAGGACTAGAGGATAAGCTATATTTGCAACAATGTCATGTTACCCTTATACCTTACATTTAAGACTATGTAGCTGAAGTATTTTCTTTAGTATGTTTTCAATGTCTAAACTCTAGAAACATTAATCATGCTTTTAATTTTTTTTTAATTCGTAGCTTAACAAAAACTTTGCTTTGGGCCTCCTCCTGGTCTGTATTCAGAGTTTTCTAATTACACTATAATAATTTGATTTCGCTGCAAATGAAGAGAGACTAGAAAAAACAAACAGGCCCCCTGACAAGGTAATACTGGCCTTGCTCCCTAGCAGCCAAAACTAAGTTATAAAACAGTCTGTTAAAGGCTGCTATTTTGTCTCCTAAGTTTTCCAGGGGGGTTTTCAAAGGGCAATAAATCCCGAATAAATAACTAAAGTCATTCTAATAAACGCGCAGAACATGCTCTGAAATTCAATATTAAAACAAGGTAGACACTGTTTCACACTTGGAAATTTATAGAAATTAGATCCAATTATGAATTTACGCCTCAAAATTAACTACTACTGGGTCATCCCGAATTCACCTGAGTTACTCTGTATTAGCAGTTCTGTGGAGTTTAAATCAACAACTAACTCAGGCCAGGTGAATTCCTAAACTTGCGAAAACATGCTCTCGCCCCATCCGCAGAAGGTACTGACGCTGAAAGCTTCCAGGATTTGTCTCATTCAATGCCTAATCCAGGGGATTAACAGAAACAGACTCTGCACGGGCGGTAGTGCTTTCTTTCCAAACCTCATGAGACAGAAAACATGGAGCTAGGGAAAGAACCATTTCCGATGAAAATATCCTAGAGCACCCCAAGAAATACCCCAGTCCTAGCACAGGCCCAGAGCTGCAAAGAACTCAGCAGGGCCCCAGACGGAGCAGTTCCCGGGAGTCGAACCGTGTTGCCCCGGCCACCCCGAGGCGCTCCAGCCCCGGCCACGCATTTCCCCAGCGGCAGCTGCGTGGGACACAGGCCTACCGCCAGCCCCCCTCTCCGCTCCGCCCGGCCCTGCCCAACCCCGCCTGGCAGCCGGGACACCAAGCAGAACCTCAACGCTCACCATCTCGAGTCTCTGCTCAGCCATCTTTGCTCCGCCCGCCGCTGCGAGGCCGGAAGTCGGCGGTTTCCCAAAAAACCAGGCAAACGGAAGTCGTAGGATTGGGGAAGTGGGGAGGGGCCTGAGTAGGGAAAGAAGTAGATCGCCGAGCGGAAAGCTTTGCCTGGGAGGCGAGAGTCTTCTGGAAGCGGGGAAGGGGTTGGGTGCTTTCCTGCGGTCCACTTGGCTCTAAAGGAGCCGGTGAGGGAATGCGAAGCCAGTCGTCCCCTTTATCCCGGCCAGCCCCTACCGCCCTACACCTTTGTGTGGACGCTGCTTGAGAAACCCCCAACAGCGCTGGGTGGAGTGGCCAGCCACAACTGGGACGGCGGCGCGCCCTCCCGTCGCCTGGCCCTGCTCTGCTTTGATGCCACCCAGCATTTATTTCCAGCCCGGGAGTCCCGGCCCCCAAACCCAAACCCTACGGCGGAGAACCTCATTCTCGCCTTACATAAAAATTCCCTGTTTCTCGGCTGTTTGTCCAACTAAGGTATTACCCGCCTCATCAGCCTCCCACTTCTGTTTACGCTAGAGTTTGCAAATCCGCTGCTGGTGGGCTGCATTTGAAGGCAGTCTTGTTTTGACTGGAAATACTTAAAAACCAGGAGATCTCGCAAGAAAGCCAGAAATCCGGCCTCGGAATAAATAAAGATCCGACAATGGGCCTGCATTCCTGCTTGGCGGTAAAATAGATCTGAAAACAGCTGCTACTGTAGTTAGGCATTTGTTGGCCTTTTTGCCACAGTCCTCTCTTCCCAGCACACTTCAGCCGTTTTTACATTACCTTTCTAGCCCCTGCTGTGGTGAATTAAATGCTCAGTCTTTCCACTGGGTGATCGTGGAAATACGTGGGCTTTCGAGTCAAACATGAGTTCCGTATGTGACTACTGCATGACGTGAGCCAGTCATTTCTTTGAGCTTCATTCATTCCAGTACCAGGAGCTATGCGACGAGCGAAATACGCGGGATCCCTGACCTTCGAGTGTAGCGAGGAAGTCACACATTAAATAACGTAAGCAAAGTTTATGAAGAAACATTTCACTAAAGAAGAAATACAAATGCCTCTTGAACATACGAAAATATAACTTTGCAAGGAAGAGAAAACATGCAAATTAAAGTTTCCAAGAGATATTTTCCACCTCTTACATTGTCAGAGAACAAAAATTTTCATTGAGTTGTGAGTAAACATGCATTCTTCATCTGTGGCTAGAGGGAATGTGAACTGGTACAACCTCCATTGACAGCAGTTTGGAAATTACTACCCAAATTTAAAATGCACATAACCTTTAACTTCTTTATTTTAATTCTAGGAATATATTCTATAGGTATAAATGTGGAAAATGACTTTAAATACAAAGTTATTCAATGCAGCATTGTTCGTAATAACCAAAGCCTGAAAACAACCTAAATGCCCAATAATTAAGGTTAAAGAAATAATGATAAGCCCATACTGTATGGTACATGAAAAAGAAACCATTTACATAGCGATATAGAAGAATTGCCAAGATATATTAACAGGTAAAAACAAAGTGCAGAAAAATGTACATAGGATCTGTGTTAATAAGAGAAGGCAAAAATAAAGATGAAACTTATGTACATAATTGCTTATATACTCCAAATCTCTGAAAGGATATTCAAAATGCTAAAAGTAGTTACTTGTAAGGAAGAAAACTGGGTAGCAGAGGGACGGGGAAGGGAAGAAACTCTATACCCTGTTACAATTTGAATTTTGTATGAAATGGATGTATTACCTATTCCAATAACAGAGAAAATTAAAAGAACAACATAACTATATAATTAGAATTGTGATAAATGCTGAGGAAAAATACAGAGTAGTAAAAGCAAATAATAACAGGGAGATCCAATCTAGACTTGTTTGGACAGGGAAGTTTCCCTGGGTAAGATATGTTTAAAATGAGACCTAAAGGATAAGGCATTAGCTTGGGGAAGGGGGATGAGGAAGTGGGCAGGCTGGGGAAAAATTCTAAGGCAAAGGAAAAGCTTGTGCAAAGGCCCTGAGGATGGAAGAAGCTTGGCCAGTTTGCAGCACAGAAAGACCAGCATGGCTGGAAAGAGGAAGGGGAAAAGAGTTGGTTGCAATAGGTGGAGAGGTAGGAGAGACTAGTGGTGCAGATCCACAGAGGCCATGCGAGGGATTTTATTCTAAGGACATTGGAAAGGCACTAGAGAGTTTTGGGCAAGGAGTGACATAGTCAAAATTAACATTTAATTCATGTTAAATGGATTAATGTGTTCATGTTAGCTAATGAGTGGAGAATGAATTGAGTGGGGGACAAGAATTGATAACCTAGGGGTGACTAAAAGGATACTGCAGATGAAATGATAAAACAGTTCACTTGGACTAGTGATGGGAAAAGGAGAAAAAGTGAATGGATTCTCACGAATTTTAGGAGGTAAAACAAATTTCCTAAGGTATAGAATTGGATATGGGAGAATGAAGGAAAGGGATATAGATGTCACAGAAAGATTACTACGTTTCTAACTTTAAAAGCAACTGAGTGAATAGTATAGTCAGTTACTGAGATGGGGAGCCTTAGGGAAGATGATGTTGGTAGAAAGCTCATGAGCATACTTCCTAATATATAAAATCTCCCTGAAAGGGGTCCTGTGAGAAGTAAATGACATTTCTTGTGCCTATGTTATTAAATAAGTAGAAGCCATTATTATATGCTTAAAAATCTCTCCTTTGACCCCAGATCTTAGAAAAAAGAGCACTTTCTGTGCAAGGGTCTTTTTCATGAGAAAGCACGTTGGTTTCTCAGATGTCAACAACCAAACTTAATGTGCTAATTAGGTAGGTAATTAGAAAAAAATCTCAAAAAACATAACATCTTCACAGGAAGATCCCAGAATCACATAGATAATATTTCTTGTATAAGTTTCTTGTATAAGACTTCTTGTATAAGTCTTCATTCCCCTTAGAAAACCTCCTTGGATGTAATCTCATTTATCAGGATCATTCAAGTCATATAGCTGGGTAAGACATTCCAAAGAAAACGGTATTTATCTTTTTTACCCCATGGTGGGGGCTGAGGAGGCAAGAGAGCAATCTGACATCAGTAACTTTTTAACATCCCCAATATATGTATAAAGAAGGAATTACAGTTGAGTTTCTACGTCTTAAATATTTTAATATGTCACTCCTACTCTGGTAGGGTCTATAGCCAGCTTTGTTCTGACGCCACCTGCCAGGCAACTCTCCAGCACCTCATGAGTCTCTTGCAGTATCCAGTCTTCCATACCACCAACTGCTGAGAGCCCAGCCAACACCTTGAGAAACACTGTGAATTAATATGAAGCTCCAGGGGCCTTCGTGAAGCATTTTAAATATGCCCATTCCTGATACTACAGATACTCAACCACAAATGTGGACAAAGGCATATATACTGCAATGTTTGTGAGAAAAAAACAAACTGGTAACAACCCAAATGTCCATCACCAGGGACTGTTCAAATAAACCACAGTACATCCATACGAAGACATATTATGCAGTCTGTAAAGGACTTCAAGATGGTGAAATAGTTAAATGAGAAAAACAAAGTATAGAAGATATAGTATGGTTCTATTTGTATTAAAAAAAATAAGGGGGGAAGATATGCACACTTTTTGTATACAGAATTTTGAGAAACAATCAAGAAACTGGTAATGATATTTGTCTCTGTAGAGGCAGTAGAGAGGACTTGGGAACCTATAATGGGAAGGTAATTCGCTTTTCATTGTTCACCACTCTATAAAATTTAACATTTTATTATCCATGTATATATAATTTTAAAAATTATTTTTAAAATATGTAAATGAAACTTTTTTTTAAACTCCCATTCCTAGAATTCACTTCTCATTTGGATGTAGAAAACCACAGGAGAATATATCTCCCACCCTAGCAAACAAAGGCTAGATTAGCTAGAAAATCAAAAATATTTTTAACTCATTAGAAAGCTAAGGACATAAAGAAACCCTAAGTGAACTAACCTCCAGAAAATGCTAAGTCCTTCATAGGAGAGAAGAGATACATGGCTGCTCCACCATAGGGGAATAAAGAGAAGCCAGTGGAAATTTAACAAAAATGTCGGTCTCATTGAGGCTGGCATGACATTAGAATCTAGAGGACCCAAATCCACAGAGAAAACCTGCACCCACCCACCAATCTTACCTCTTGGATCTTAAAAAGTACAGGAAGGTAGTAACCAAAAGTGGGAAGAGGGTGTGTATAATAGAAAAGTTGAGACAGATTACTCCTTCCCTTGAGGTAAGTGGAGACTTTCCACTAACTAACATTTTAAGGTTATCTTTGCAAGATAACCTTAAAATGAGGAGGCAAAGCAGGAATGCTGATAAATCCACCACATATACTCTTGAAGGCCGAGAGTGAGGCAGCTGACACCTTAGCTACGAAGCAAAGTCAGGGTGAACTGAATCAAACTAAGGCTGCAATAGTGCCCAGATCTAGGTCAAATATACATCAGATTGACTGAGCCATTACTCAAATGACTGAAAGAAAAATGGGCATGCCCCAATTTGAAGTTAATACTTACTTCAGTCTCTCCTGTTTTTTATACAAAACGTCCAGCATACAATCAAATATACAAGACATGTGCAAAAGCAAGAAAATAAGATCCATGGTAACAGAGGAAAGGTTCAAGAGAAGCAGAATGAGAAATGACCCAGATGTTGAATTAACAGTGGGATCTTTAAAATAACTCTGGCTGAAAGTAAAATGCTTAAAAATCTAGTGGAGGCTAAAATATTACAATCAATAGATAGGGTTTTTGAAATAACTATGATGAAAATGCTTTAAAAACTCTAGTGGAAAATGTTGACAACATACATAAAAAAATGGAAAATTTAAGCAGAAACATGATAACTATACAAACATAATGAAATGCTAGAAATAAAAAATACAGTATCAGAATGATTTCATCAGATAGGTTTAAGAGAAAAGCATCAGGGTACTTGACAGCTAAATGGAAAGTATTCAAACTAAAAACAAAAAGAGAAAAGAATGGGGGGAAATCATCTGAGATCCGTAGGATAGTATCAAATCATCTAATATAGGTGTAATTGGAGTCTCAGAAGGAGAGGCAAGGTGGGAGAGTATGGAACAGAAGAAATATTTGAAGACATAAAAGCCAAGAAATACCCAATATTAATGAAAGACAGCAACACAGATACAGGAGGTTCAGTAAACTCCATACAAAGAAAAACATACCTAGACATATCATAGTCGATCTGCTGAAAACCAAAGATAAAGAGCAGATGTAACCATGGGGGAGAATCACATTATGGACAGGGAGACACATAAAAATGATGATTTCTTACCAGAAACAAATGAGACCTGAGGACAAATAAATGACTTTAAAATGCTAAAAGAAGAGATAAAAGGTCAACATAGAATTTAATATTCAACTAAAATACCCCTGAAAAATAAAGATATTCTCTGACAGAGAAAAGCTGAGAGAATTCATCTTCAGAAAAACTGCAATAGAACAAATGTTAAAAAGAAAGTTCTTTAGATTAAAGGGAATTTATAACACATGGAACTCTAGACTTGCTGGAAAACATGAACAGAAATAATAATGAAGTATTGTGGAAAATGAAGTATTCTGTGGGAAACAGAATAGAGAATCTAGAAATAACTACAGACACATATGGTCAGTTGATTTTCAACCAAGATGCCAAGTTGATCTAATGGGTGAAGGAAAATCTTTTTAAACAAATGTTGCTGGAACAACTGGGTATCTATGTTGAAATAAACCTCGTTCTGTACAAATAATTAACTGGAGATGGATCATAAACTTAAATGTAAAACTCCAAACCATAGATTTAAAACCTAAAACCAGTGAGATGGATCATAGATAGCCATAAAACCCCAAACCATAAAACTTCTAGAAGAAAATACATTCTTTGTGAGCTTGGGGGTCATAAAATCATAAAAGAAAAACTTGATATGGTGGACTTTATCAAAATAAAAATTTCTGTTCATCAAAAGATCCCAGTAAGTGAACAAACCATAGTCTACAAAAAAAAAAATCACAGCACATATACCCATCAAAGGACTTGTATCCAGAATTCACAGAAAAACCACAATAAAAAGACAATTCAATTTTAAAATGGGAAAAGACATGAAAGACATTTCATGAAAGATATAAAAATGTAGAACAAGCATATGAAAAGTGCTCAACATCACTAATCATCAGGGAAATGCAATGTAAATTAAAATCATAGTTATTTCATACACACTAAAATGGCTAATATAAAAAACACTGATAATATGAAGCAACTGAAACTCCCATACATCACTGATAAGAGTAAAAGATGATAAATCACTTCAGAAAACAGGAAGGCAGTTTCTTAAAAAGTTATCATATGACTCAGCAATTTTCTACTCTTAGGTATTTATCCAAGAAAAAAAACATGTACCCACAAAACAAAAAAATATAACTTAAGAATATATATATAATATCCTTATTCATAATTGCCCCAAATGAAACCACCTAGAAGTCCATCAGTAGGAGAATGGATAAACAAATTGTAGTACATTTATAGAATGAAATACTACTTAGCAATAAAGAATAACTTATCAATACATACAACAATATGGATGAGTCTTTAAAGCATTATAAATGAAAGAAGCCAGATGTAAGAGTACATATTATATGATTCAGTTATATAAAGTCCAAAAGCAGGCAAAATAAATCTTCAGTGAGAAAAATCAGCAAATGATCATTGGAGTAGAGAGGGGGGCAGGGATGAATTGAAAGATGCACAAGGGAACTTTCTGGGTTAATGGTAACTATATCTTCCTTTGGGTGGTTATCTCACAGAGGTATACAATCGCTGAAACATCAATCTGAACACAACGTGTGTGCATTTTATAATAACGTTGATTTCTATATATCAACTTAAAATAAAGGTGAGTTGAGGATACCTACTCCAGGAGCATCTGTCCCCGACCCTTTACTGACCTATCTGATTTGTTCTCCTCAGTACGATCTTTGGCCTCTAATCTGTTCAGGGCTAGGCCTTGATTATAGAATTTATCTTAAAGGGCACACAATCCAGTGCCCCTAAGAAGTAGCATTTAGAATCTGTGAAGCAATTCTGTGGAACCAACAGTTCATTTCCATTGATTAGTGAGCAACCATTTGACCATTTTAAGGCACTGACTTATACTAATGTGATTTTAACATGAATTGATGGTATTAATACTTAACTTACCCTATTGCAAGGTAGTCAAAACAATGGAGTAAAAATTAATTCTTCAAAGGCATGTAGAACACTATTATTCTTCATAAAAACCATTCTCTGGTATTTGCTGCCATGACATTTACAATGCTCTAAACCAGTCACAGGATTTTGGATACAAATTTATTTCCTATCCAAAGCAGGTGGACACTCAGATCATGCTTCCTCCTTTGTTAGAAAACATTATAGTATTTGCCCAGGTTATGTAGAAATGAACCACAAGTCAGGGTCATACGGTAGGAATTTATTAACAAACCAACAACTTTGTTCATACCAGGAAGACCAGCAATTAGGTTATAAATGACTTGAGAGCAGGTGCAAGAACTTACAATTCTAGAGCATTCTATCAGAATGTCTACTGCCTAAGTAGACCCATAAGAGATGCTCCATGAATTCCGGTTATCATTTTACACGGCACTCCCTTTGAGAAAATGATGTGACCTGCAGAGGTGGGAGTACACACAGGGAGTCCCCCTGTGAGAGGAAGGTGGGAAATTCAATAAGTAGTGATGTTTTTGGATAGGGTCCCTCAGAAAACTCAGGACAGTGTGTTTGCTCACTCCTTAGGAATCCCAACTTGGCCAACTGATTCCAGAGAACCAGATCCTCACTGCAAAAGCCCTGATTCACAATTCTAAGAAATCATCATTTAACATACACTGAAGTGGTTCCTAGGGCACTGCTTTGTTGTTAGCCACACAGAAACCAATTTTAACCATCAGAAGGAAATCTAAAATCTAGAGAAGCAAGTTTTCATCCTAGACAGCTTTCTGGAGAATTACCTATCTACAATAGAGAATTCATTTCTATCATCACCTTCCAAATTCTCACTCTGAAAGAAACCTGAATACTCCGTGGCAAAAAGCAGGCAGCTTGAAAATTAAAAACCAAACTTTTATACAGGTGGAGTAGTGAGGAGGGATATACAGGTGCTAAATAAAACACCGAATCAGGAAATGTTATTTTGTGCACAGGAAGCCACATCATCAGCTCAATATCGGCAAGATTGCCTTCTAGAAAGGGTTTGGAAATATGAGACTTGCTTTTTTAAGCTCTCATTAAAATGCCAGGGTGGTTCTGAAATGTGAGGGAGAAGAAAAAGGCATACTTTGGGTCCTTCTTAGTAGAGTATCTGAGGTTAACAACAAAAAGACATGTTTTGAACAGAGAGGAGCCAAAAATAAGAATTAGTCATTGAGTCTCCTGAGGTTGGAAGTCCCCTAACTAGTCTATGTAATTTTAGCAGATACTTTTGGCAAGGTTGTTTGAGAAGCAGCTATAGTAGTGAAAAGAATTTAGTGTAGTGGTCCAAATGTGCCTGCAGATCTGCCATTAACTGGCTGGGTGACCCTGGGCAACCTACTGAATCTCTATGTAGAATCAGGATTAAATGCTTCAGACAAACAGACCCCTTTGTTCACTGCTGTACCTCCAGTGCCTAGAACAGTGCCCAACACCATGGGTGCTGACAGAAGGAACTTAGGCTTGAATCTTCATTTTGCCACTTACAAAAGGATGACCTCAAAGAAATAACCCACCTTCTTTGCGCTTTTATTTTCTTATTTATAAAATGGAGATGGCAACTATCTCATATGATTTGCAATTTTAAAAAGATGGCCATGAAGCATTTAGTAAACACTAAATAAGTTAGCCATAATTATCTATTATATACAAACTCTTTACATTTATTTAAAAAAGAAAACTTTCGGGGCTTCCCTGGTGGCGCAGTCGTTGAGAGTCCGCCTGCCGATGCAGGGGACACGGGTTCGTGCCCCGATCCGGGAAGATCCCACATGCCACGAAGCGGCTGGGCCCGTGAGCCATGGCTGCTGAGCCTGCGCGTCCGGAGCCTGTGCTCCGCAGCGGGAGAGGCCACAACAGTGAGAGGCCCGCGTACCGCAAAAAAATAAAACTTTCAGGGCATTTTGGTATTGTCAAGGACACCTGTGATGTACAGCCAGTGAGCCATGATCTCCAAAATTTGCCTCCCAATCCACAGGGGTAACCCCCCAAAGCCACATTTGTACCAATGATCTTGTTCCCTGGCTCTGTCTGGTTGTCTACATGTGTCTGGGACAGTTAACATGTAACACCTAGAGCTATGGGTGTGGCTGATAGGAAAAGCAGAAGACTTTAGAATGATGTGGATGTACAGACTGCAGACAATGCCAGTTTAGGAGTCCAAAATGGCTTTCTAGTTCCTGGATCTGATCTCATTCTGCCTTTGGGAGTCTATGAGACAGCTCTGTATCCTTATTTTTTGCCTAAGTTAGTACTAGTAAGCTCATTATCTGTAACTAGGATTTGTTTTCCCATTAATTTTCTTTGACCCTCACAATATTCCTATAAAAGACAATATAACATGATAGAATGAACACATGAAATTAGACAAGCACAATGCTGCCATAAACTGTTAAGTTCGAGTTAATAAGTCTATACACCTTTCTTCTCATTTATAAAATTGGATAGCAATGCCTACTTTGTTTTAGGGCTGCTTAGAAGATACAAATAACATAAGTAAGGCATCTGGCAAGAAGCACTCAACAAATTATAGCTCCTATTAGTATCCCCATTTTACAAAGGGAAAATTATAGCTGAGAAATACTGATATTCTTTCTACTATGCCAACTACACTGGGAATAAAAATAGGAAAATCCACTGTCTTTTAACATACAAGTTCATCAAAAGAATGAAAGTGACAGCAAGAAACTTGTGACTTTCAAGTGCTCTGAATTTAAGTGATTAAATGGAATTGTGCATTGACTTGAAACAGATAGCTTAACCACTCAACAACTTGCTCAGACTCTACACTAATTTACTTCCAGATAGGGCTCTCTCCCTTGATAAGAAAATATATTGCCAGTTGACGTGAATATTCTACTGAGCTTATCGGTTCTACAGTTCTTTTAGTTTTGTGAATTTTATTTTCTCCAAGGTGGACCACTTAGCAAAACACCAACAAAGAAACAAATTGGGCGCTTTACACTATACCCGAGGAGGCACCATTCCACAAAACCCATTCAGCTAGGGCCTAGTGTGGCCCTTTCCTGAGCTTGTAAATTCGCCCCACGTCCTATTGTCCCTTATGACTAGAGTGCTCAACTACATTCCTCTTTGAAACTATGTAGGTATCTAGATCAATGGTCTCAACCTTGCCTACAGGTCTCAGACTGCACTGCACAATCATCAGGGTTGGGGATGGGGATAGGACTTTAAAAATTATTGATGTTCAGTACACAACCCAAAGCAATTAACTCACAATTTCTATGGGGTAGGACTCAAGCATAGTGTTTTTTGGTTTGTACTTTTGAAGTTTCTCAGTGATTTCAATGTGTAAAATGGACATTAAATTGGAACACAAGTTGGAAAATGACAAGGCCCATGTGCAGTTCTTTGAGCCACATTTAAGAATATTTTAATGACCATTTCAAAATTGAGAGAATCCACGTAAAGTGTATTTCACAGGCTCCTCTGAGAGTCCACTTGGCCCAGGGTAGTCTATTAAAATATTTACCTAGTTCTTGTAGACATCTGAGTTTGAGACTCTTGGTATTACTTGAAACCCCTGGATTACTGTGGTAGTAAAGTTGTGCTTTTGGCATTGTTAGAGCTGCTAGCTATCAATGTGTGACTGACTTATATACCAATTGGCTCCTACTCTGAAAATGGCCCTAAACAAGCATATCTATAGTTTAATCGTAGTCTGAAAACTGCTTTTCAAAAGAATCTCGTATTATTTTCCCCAGCCTAAATGCTATTGCTTAGAGAAACATCAACCAGAGTTGCCTCCGCTCCTGCAGCAGGCACTA